GAAATAATTTTTTTAAAAAGAAGTATTTTTGGGTATACGGGATTTTGGGAATAACTTTGCCTTTACTTTTCACAAATCCACATACTTTCCAAAATTATGGTTATAATCAAAGTTGTAGTACTTCAAAAGTTATGCAAATGCAAAAAAAGTTTCATGCCATTCGGATTGTGGAGCACAAAGTTATGATCTTCCAAAGTTTGTTAAAATCGAAAAATTGTTTGTTCGGGGTAGCAAATGATTTTTTTTGGGATGAAGTCTTGTTTCAGATTGAAAGATCTTGAAAAGTTATATGGAATTCAAAAAAATCGCTACAATCGGATAACTGAGCGCAAAGTTACGTTTGTTTGAAGTTTCAGTGTTACGTCAGGCATTCACTGCGGCCGTCAACCGCGGTGATGCATTCACCGCTTTGGTCAGCCGTGGTGAATGCATTCACTGCGGTTGACAACAGCGGTGATGCCCAAACATTTGTATTTTGTAAAAAAAAATTATAACGTGTGTATTTTGAATTTTTTTAAAAAAACATGTGTATTTTGGGATTTTTTCCGAGAGATATGTGTGTGTCGCAGTTAATTGCTTGCGGAAAGAGAAACACCGATCAGGGCGGCCAATCCCGTTGTATCGATTTGGCTGCTGCCTGCCATGCGTGTAATCTTGGTTTGCATGTAGGTTAATCGAATATCACGATTACATTTTCGAAACAAAAAGTCACGTTGGAAGGCAAAAGATATCGGGGTCGTTTGCTTGTTGGATTTGGGTCATGGATTTGGTACCCAAATCCCAAGCTTCATGGATTTAACATAAGTCCATTCTTTGTTGAAGGGTGCTAAATCCGTGGGGTCCACGTATTTGGTCTTTATTTTGGAACCAAATCCGTAGACCCCACGGACTTGTAAATCCCACATTGATTTGGGATTTGCAAATCCTTGATGGTTAGTTATTTATTTAACAAATCCATCATCAAATCTATCATGTAAACATTAGACTCTTCAAATCCATAATCCAATAAATCCAACATAAATCCCAAGGTTTTTATTGGCCAAAACCCTCATTTTTCAAATCCAACAAGCAAACGACCCCATCATGTCTACGATCTTGTATCTTTCGATTTGATAACAAGGCCAGTAAAAGAGATTGCTTATTGCAGAGCCCGACTATACTCTAAGAGGGAGTGAGGCAGGAAAGAAGATGTTGTAGACGAAACCCAGATGGCGTACCTAGGGTTGCAAATGAGTCGAGCTGTTCGCGAGCGGCTCGGTGTTCGACTCGAGAAAAGCTTGTTCGAAACTCGGCTCGTTAATAAACGAGCCGAACATGAGCTAAGCTTTCTTCAGCTCGTGAAGCTCGCGAGCTAGCTCGACTCGGTGGCTTGTTGAGCTAAACTCGTGAGCTGGCTCGTTTAGAACTCATGATATGTCTCAACATGTGGTTAGAGAGCCAATTCGATTACCGACTTATGGACGAATCAATCTATATCTTATGTTTTTAATTCATATGGTTGTTAAATTATATATCTCACCATATATAAAGTTTAAAACGTTGAGTATGTGAGCAAATATATCTTATTTTCTACTTTAAAAAAAAAGTATGTTTTATAAATTGCTTTGTTACTATGAAATAACATGATTTGGAGTAGTTAAAATTTATTAACTAAATGATATATGATATTAGCTAACAAAATAAATCATGTGTATAATGATATACAAAATGAAGTACCAAGTAAAAGTTAAGATTTTAGTAAAGAAGCTAGCTCGAGCTCGACTTGACTCATTAATAAACGAGCTGAGCTCGAGCTCGACTCGTTTATTAACGAGCCGAGCTCAAGCTGGGGTAAAACTCGACTCGGCTCGGCTCATTTGCAGCCTAGGCGTACGTGAGTGCTCGTATCTCTCACTATTTCGCCTTTTTCTCTGCCATTTATTTTATCTGTTTACCATATTATTTTGTTCTACTGAGATTCAAATATACCGCCGCTATGGGTAGTTTTCAACTTTTGATTCCCAAAATAGTCAAAGTAGTGTGTGTATGTATTAAGGGTTTGTTTGGAAATTGCAAATGTTAAATCGTTGCATTGTAACGAATCACTATAATATAAAAATACATGTATTGATTCAATGGATAACAATACACTGTTTGGTTGTTGAGATTATACTTTATGTAAAAAAAAATTGATGAAGTATTTTATTTAATGATTTGCATAGAGTTACTTTATGGTAAAATGTCACATTTAACCTCGGCTTTTAGTATGAGACAAAAACTATTAGGGATATAAATGGAAAGAAAAAGTGGACACACTGACTGCATCTCTTCCTTCCTCTCCTCTAGCGAAAGCAACAGGAGTCTGCTCCAGCAAGATTGCGTCTCCTACCTCACCCACACAACCTTCAATTTTCAAAACGACCTCCATCTGAGCTCGATCCCGAGCTCCCCATCGTCTATTGTCGCCGAGCTCTGCCGCAAAAATCCGTCGCTCCAAGCAATAATAAAGTCATAATGGGGAAAAGCTTCACTCACTTTGTCTCACTATTTCTTTCCATCTCCAAAAGTTCAAAATTCAAAATTTTATTGTTGCAATTGTTGGTTGCAGGGGTGGTGAGGGGAAGGGGACTGGTATAAAAGAATCTGGGTTTTTGGGTTCTCAAGTGAAAATGTGGCAACTCTCGGAGAGGAAGTTCGAGTCGTAGGGTTGATGACAACGAAAGGGCAAACTTGACTTTATTTACTAAAATGAGTGTTGTTTTTTTTTATTTGCAAAAAGTAGAATCACATTAAACAAACGATGTATTTGTCAAATGCATCTATTCAGACAATACATATAATTACAATACACAAATTGATAGAATATATCAATTGTATGAATCACAACCTCCAAACATGCCCAATACCTACCTAAAACATTGTATTGTGCACAATACATGTATTCAATAAACACAACTGCCAAACATCCCCTAAGATTATGTGTGTATGGTTTTATTTCTCTCTCTTTTTTTTTTAAGATACGGGTGATATAAGTTTAGTTTTGCCATTAGGTACTATTAAAGGGATTCGAATTTGAGACCTCCAAGTTCAATATTAATGGTATTACCACTAGACCAAATCCTTGTTCGTGTGTGTATGGTTTTATTTCAGCAGAAGTTGTTAATTCAGGTTAATTTAAGAAAAATGAGCTAGACATTTCTGAGCGGTTGCTACTTATGTTTGCAGGAGGAAGAGGATGTTAATCATCTATTCATTCATTGCATTTATACTAAGGAGGTTTGGACGAGATTGAAGGATGGTTGCCCTATTAATAGCACCAAGCAAAGTTATGTCGCAACATTGATTAGGTAATGGTTGAATTGCTCTCCCAACGAGAAATGTCACTATTGAGATCTACTGTGACAATTATGAATGTATCGAGAAATGTCACTATTTGTATTAATCGTGACATATTAACATGTCCATATAAATGTCACTATTGAGATGGGCTATGACATATTGAAATGTCACAATACATGTCACTATTGGTATTAACTATAACAGTTTGATATGTCTATAGAAATGTCACTATTTGCATCACTTACGACGCTTTAAAATGTCACAAAAGATGTTATTATGCTACGATTATAAGTGTCGCTATATGTAAAATAAACATTACACAAAAGTGGTCTTGACAATTGTAACAAATGTCACAAAAGAAGTTAGTGACACTGGATTATGTGACATTTATGTGTCATTTGTGTAAGACGTCAGTACAACACTATTGTGACATTTTTCTACCTTTTAATGACAATTTGACTGAATTTTAAATTGTCACTTCAGCTGTTTTTTTTTTGTAGTGGCAGGGGCAGTGGTTTATCTAGAACTTTATAATAAGTGGGTTGAATTTTAAACAAATATATTTACCGTGTCTAAAACATGTTCTCCAATTTCGTAAAACTTGTAAGATGTAAACATGTAATAATAATAAAATAATCATTCATGATTTTATCATTCATTCAATGCTAACTAGCTAGTAGTTTTAACGTTACTCATTGCTAATGTATTTTCAATACTTGGAGTGAAGGCTTAGGTATGTAGCAGCAATGTTAAGTTACTTGTTTCAATGACCATGGTTCTAAAAAGTTAATGAGTTTTATTTAATTTTAGACAATCTCTAATCAACTCATTGTTATAAGATAACTCATTGTTAGGATAAAAGGAACTCACCAAATTTCAGCAAAAAAAGGATTTGGTGGAAGAAGAAGAATAAAATAAAGAATATGAGACTGGAAGAAGTATGAACATGTTTGCCATCCCTTCCTCACCACCATCGCCTTCCTCACCGCCGCCTCTCCATGCATGCGGAGTCTTTGCACCCGGTCGAGACACAATTGTTGATAAGATCAATCCTTTTGCTGGGCTGAAAGACATAAGTAGAGCATAGACCGAAGGTGGCGTTAAACTTCACTTTTAACCCAACCCAAACCGAAGAAACGTATTCAATGGGCATTGAAATCGATGGGTAACCAATACATGAATAATTGTTTAGTTGCATTTATAAATAAGGTTTGATTCATTACATAAGAGAGAATACATATGGAAAGTCATCTTGATTCACTGTAAAAAAAGTGAAATTATAAATTCTATATTACTTTCAAATTTTATAAATTAAATTTTCATACTAATTTAATATTTTATTGTTTGTCGTTGACACACATGTTCAACAATCTGAATATCATTGACGATATTGTTTCAAATGTTTGTTTAGTCTTGCTTCACTTGTTAAACGCATAAAATATTTATAATTAGGAAATCGTGAACCGTTAATTTTTACGGCTCGATGTCGGATCCGATTGAAAAAATAGAGCTCAAAATCCAAAGAAAAAGAAGTTTTCATCTATCTATTTGAACTTTTTAATGAACCGTTTACTGAAAATCCGCAGCTGCCTTTAACAAATAAATAAATTTGACGAGTGCAGACGGTTACATAAACCCTTGTAGCCCATTGGTCGAGTGCTTCTTCCTTAGCTCAAGACGTCCCTGTTTCGAAACCCAGCCCTAGGGTTTTTGTCTCTTCTTCCTTTTCGCTCTCCTGATCGCCGGTGCCCGCCGAGTAGCCGTTGCTTTTCGATCTTCTTCAGCAAATTCCCGCCATCTTCACGTCTCTCCCTGTGCTCCGGCGGCGACGCAGCTTCGTCGGCGGGCAGAGATGCAGACCTCGCAGCAGAAAACCCTAGACTTAACCTACACTAAGCCGCTCTACGTTGAAGATGCGGATCATCGCACAATGTGAGTTCAATGAGCGTTTTCAAAACTCTGATTTTGGTTCAAGCCTTTAATTTTATGGATTTTCAAAGCAAATGGGTCGCAGGTTTCTTCAATTGCTTTTGTGCGATGAAGAATCATAAACTTCCAGCACGATTCATTGCTTTCTCTTTCGTTTCCAATTCAAATTATGTTGTGGCCAAAACTGTGTAGCTGAATAATGATCACCGATTCACCGTGGTGTGGTCTTCTGTTGTATACAGAGAAAGCATGCAATTTTCCACCATGTCGCAGTCTGATGTACTAAATGCGGCTGAATGCCAAGTGCAATTGCATGACGGCGGTGAATACCCTAGAAAGGAAAACGAATACTACGATCACGGGAATCCCGTCCGAGGTGGCTTGTTGGATCCCAGAATGGTACAATACTTTGCTTCCCCAAAATTTTTTCATTGTGTGTATGCTTCCATTGCTTCATTGAATTTTGGTACACGTTGATATTTGAGGGTTTCGCCTTCTTCTTGATGCCTTTTGAACAGGGTCCTGCAAAGAAATTTGGTATGGCGTGTGAGACATGTGGTGGTAGCTTCAACGATTGTCCTGGGCACTTTGGATACATATCGCTTGAGCTTCCAGTGTTCAATGTTGGATACCTGAGTACTGTTCTAGACATTTTGAAGTGTGTTTGCAAGGTGAGTTGAATACTTTTTTTTCTTCTGAATCAGTTATATCAGTTGCTAGTACAGTTTATGTGTAGATATCCTTGATCTTTGGTAAAGGTATTTTTACTGGTTTTTGTCTGCCTGAAGTATGCTGATGGTCATTACTATCGGCGAGAACCATACCACCGTTCCTTGTTGCTACTTGCAAGCAATTGGTCGAAGTTTTCTTTGTTTTAACTTGAGCAATGTCCTTCAATCTTTATAAAGGACATGAACTTTCACACTTTTGAATATCCTATTGAGCAATGTCCTTCTCTTCTTTTCTGTTTTCCTCCTTTTTACAGTCTTGTTCCCATATGCTTCTGGATAAGGAGTTACGTGACGACTATCTAAGGAAGATGCGAAATCCCAAGCTCAGTCCTCTGAAGAAGACTGCTCTGATGAAGACTATTGTCAAGAAATGCAGCACAATGGCGAGTGGAAAATCTATCAAGTGCCCCAGATGTGGAGAAATGAATGGTTTGGCGTTTTCCTCTGCTTGTGAATTATTTTACTTGGATGATGAGGTGTTTTCTTTACCTGTGATACTTGTATAACAAGTATTTTAACAGTTCTTTTGTGTTCCCTCTTGGAATGGGACTGTGATGAATGTCTTGAAAATATGCTGTAGACGTACAGCCATAGAGGAGAAAAAAAGAAAATTTCCCATGGCTACTATAGTTGATGTCTCTTAGAGTTTACATTCAACTGCAAACACACTTCAGACTGTGAGACTTACTTTACGTGCTTTGACTTTCAGGAATGGTAAAAAAGGAGGGAGGTTGTCTAGTTCATGACCAGACAAAGTCAGGCAATGACTTTCCCAATGATTGTCAATCTGCAATTTCACACACCAAGGATTCAAGGACTCACATTAATCGTTCAACTTACTATCTCAACCCTGCCAAAGTGCTCAAGATATTCAAGCATATATCGGATAAGGTGTAGTTCGTAGTCCTCTTTCTTTTGTTTCAAACCTCCGATTATTTCTTAGTCTTGATACCACAGTAATTTTTTTTTCCTGGTTGATGATAACAGGATTGTGAATTGCTTTATCTTGGTGATAGACCTGAAAAGCTCATTTTTGAAAAGATTGCTGTGCCACCTGTTGCTATAAGACCATCAGTTCCTGTGGACGGAACAAACAGGTTTCTATTGACGAATACTTCCACTACATTTGTTTTGGCTTCTCTTGTAGCAGTGCAGATCTCTGAGTGCATCTTTTTTGCAGCAATGAAGATGATATCTCAGAGCGATTGAGACTAATTATGGTTGCAAATGCCGCCCTCCGGAATGTGATGCTGGAAGGAATGAGCAAACGTCTGGTTCGTAGTTCTATGTTCCTGGGACACTGTTTTGGTTAGAGTTAGTGTGTTTCAAGCTTCTTGGAATTCCTTTCTACCCAACTCTAACGCTAGAACTGTTATAATTTTGCTGTTTGGTTTAGGATAAATGGGATTACCTTCAAGCTATGGTTTCACTCTATGTAAATAGTGACACTCGCATCCCAAGTAATGTTCTAATTGAAGTTGGCAAACCCTTAAGTGGAATGACTCATCGCCTAAATGGGAAAAATGGGCGGTTTCGGGGCAACTTATCAGCAAAGCGTTCTGAATATACTGCCAGAACGGTTATATCTCCAGACCCTAATCTGAAAATAAACGAGGTCTCGAGTCTTCACAGACTAGCTTTCCTGTGGTAATTTTCATTTTGTTTCCTCCCACTTGGCGTTTAACACTTTCTGGTTATTCTATTGGTATAGGTAGCAGTCCCAACCCGTATGGCACTAATTTTAACTTTTCCGGAGCGTGTTACTCATCATAATATTGAGAAGTTGAAGCAGTGTGTCAGGAATGGCCCACTGAAATATCCTGGTGCAAAGATGGTCAGATATCCTGACGGCACGTCAAAGTATGTACCCATAAACTTTCCTGTTAAGATGTTTCTTTGTGTCTGAGATTAAATCAATTGTTCTATGTTGCAGGATGTTACAAGGCAACTACCGAAAACGTGTTGCTGAGGAGCTTACAATTGGTTGTATTGTAGATCGCCATTTGGAAGATGGTGATGTTGTTCTTTTTAACAGACAACCAAGCTTGCATCGAATGTCTATTATGTGCCATAGGGTAATTAAAATGATTCATAGTGCAGCATTAATCACACGATCTTTTCGACATATTCATCTGGTCCATTTTTTGTGCTTTCAGGTTAGAGTTATGCCCTGGAGGACATTGAGATTTAACGAATCAGTTTGCAATCCATATAATGCCGATTTTGATGGTGATGAGATGAATATGCATGTCCCACAAACAGAAGAGGCTCGTACAGAGGCTCTGACACTGCTGGGGGTAAGATTCATGTCCTATATTTATCTCTGCTGTGGAAACATTCCTTGTCCTCAGTTCAGTTTGACTCCTGGTCACTGGGTGTAGCTTTTTAACGAATCCATATTCCTTCTGGTGTTCAGAAATATGAACCATGCCTGTATAATAATCTTGGCTTTAGATTTTTCAGAACTGTAAATGAACTTGGAGCTATATTTTCATGTGATGGATGTGAATAAATTGGAGAGTTTGTACTGACTTGGTGTGGTGGATTTGCTCAACTTAAGATTCTATGTTCGGCACTGGGCATGGTATTGTGCTTTGTGTCAAATGAAAACCATCTATGTGAAGATATTGACATTATAATTTACAGCAGTTTCTGAACATTGATAATTGGCTTGGTGTTATTTCTTTGAATATGTCTATTATTTGAAATGTTGTCCTTTTAGAGTTTCTTCTCAGGTATCTAATTGTTACGACTGATAAATTTATTGATTCTCAGGTGCAAAACAATTTGTGCACACCAAAAAATGGGGAGATTTTAGTTGCTTCCACTCAAGATTTTTTGACAACTGCATTTCTCATAACAAGAAGGGATACATTCTATGACCGAGCAACATTCTCACTTTTGTGCTCCTACATGGGTGATGCAATGGATTCTGTGGATTTGCCTACACCTGCAATATTGAAGGTTAGATAAGGAGTCCTATGTTTTCTCTGTATTTGATTAGAGTGTAGTGTCAGTTCATTGCAGCCTATCAATTTGAAGGTTCATTCTTATTTCTTGTGACTGACTATTTCTGCATTTGTACATTGTCCTATACTTCCTTTGCTCGGCCATAGAAGGCGTGTAAGGATCTTTAGAACGCTTAATGTTTTTCTTTGTGTTCAATACACAAAAATAACAATGTCTGTAGCCTAAGCTTGGTAGTTGGTGGCACAAGTACTCACCAAGTAGCCTGCAAATATTCGTTTTGAGGGAAAAGTTTCCATGTTTTGTCCAACTTGTTCGTAAAACTGTATCTTCTTTCTTTATATATCATGAGTATCAGGTGTCGGTGATAGATTGTTGTGGTTAGATATGGGGATTGTTTGCAAGGAACTGAACATAAATAATTGTTTTTATGTGTACTTCATTCCGTCGACGAGAATCTGAGGGTCTTTGTTTGCTCCAACATGCACTTGGCTGATAAAGAAGCTGCAATAACACTTTTGATTGCAACTCAAAGCACTTCAGTCTTCAGCACTGTGTATAACAGAATAGACTTAGAACTTTGCAGTCAAACCATTGCAAGTATTGTACTATGTTTTCCCACTATTATTATATTCGAGGTTCACTTGATTTTACTTCTACATTGGTGGAAATACATGTCTTCTTGTTGAAGAGGATAAATGTTTATCAACTGTGATGATTGATGCTTCAGTTGAACAGTGAGAGCTGTTAGTGCAAAGGTCTGATTTTTCCTATAGTTGATTTTGCTTTGGTTAAAGCACTGAAACATTTTTCTGGTATTATTAAAGAATTCTATGCTTACCTTTCTGTGTTCTTTTCCTCCTTTCATCACCCCAGTTTTCCCCTTTATATTTTTCTTGAACTGAGCTTTTGTATGCAGCCAATAGAGCTCTGGACTGGCAAACAACTTTTCAATGTTCTACTGCGCCCCAATGCAAATGTGAGAGTGTATGTCAACCTGACTGTCAAGGAGAAAAATTACTCCAAGCCTCAGAAAGGGGATAAAAGAGAAAAGGAAACAATGTGCCCTAACGATGGATTTGTTTATTTTCGGAACAGTGAGTTAATATCTGGACAACTGGGGAAGGCTACCCTTGGTGAGTATGCTTGCCCTGTTAAATTGATTGATAGAAGTATGTGACATCGATGCAATGTTGGTTCAGGGATTTATCCAAAATAAAAAATTTATGTGGTCTTTCTTTTATTTTTTTGGGAATAATCCCATGTCAGCATAATAGGTTTTACATTCTCTTTCCTTATATAAAAAAAAAACTTATCAAAGAAAATAAATTATAAAAAAAAATGTCTTACATTCTCTTTCTTTTGCTTTTTAACTTGAGTAAATGACTGAATTTCAGAACTGAGAATGCTTTTCCAGCTTGATATTCTAGTTTTGCTTCTTATTGCACATCATAATTCGCACATGAAAGAAAACTTGCCTGATCACATATATGCTGACTTCACATTGGGACTGTTCCTCCAGGAAATGGTAACAAGGATGGCCTGTATTCTGTTCTCCTTAGAGATTACAATACATTTGCTGCTGCTGTTTGCATGAATCGACTAGCAAAGTTGAGGTAAGATAATTTTCGTTGTCAATTTTCTTACCCTGGGATTTTCGCCCTTGTTCTTATTCTATATCGTTACAGTGGTTTACTTTTTTTTTTCTTTTCTTTTCTTCCTATGGGACTATTGACATTGTTGTAGCGTCTTAAATAATGTTGTTTTTTAGCTCTCAATTATCCAAAGATTTGATCGGACTGCATCATGCAGCTTGTTTTCACTATCTATAGAACCTTTTGGGAATGGCTTCTAGACTGAATTCTAAATTAGACTGATACATGAGTAATATATGACTGAATTCTAAATTAATGCTGCTGTTATTCTGTGAAAATATTATCACATGGCAGTTAAACATGTCGTCCTTGCTTATTCTTGAGTGCAGTGCTCGGTGGATTGGAGATCATGGCTTCTCCATTGGAATTGATGATGTTCAGCCAGGAAAAAGGTTGAGTGACGAGAAGGGAAGAACCATTTCAAATGGTTATCAACACTGCAACAAAATAATTGAGGAGTACAATAAAGGAAAGCTTGCACTCAAACCTGGTTGTGATGCAACTCAAACTTTGGAAGCCGAGATAACTGACAGATTGAATAAACTGAGAGAAGAAGCTGGGGATGTAAGGATTAGATAAAATTCTAATTACAGTCTAGTCACATCTGAGCTATGTGTTGTCACTGCTAGATGCTGTTGATTTCGTGCATAAACTTGATTTCATAGTGGTATAGTGTAGTGCAGACTGGAAGGCTTTCAAGAACTTCTAAATCTGTCGCCACTACTACATTGATCTCTTCGAAAACAACTTCTTAATTTATTTACTTGCTTACTTCAAATAGGTGTGCATGAAAGAATTGCACTGGCGAAACAGTCCATTGATTATGTCACAGTGCGGATCCAAAGGTTCACCCATCAATATCAGTCAGATGATTGCATGTGTTGGTCAACAATCAGTTGGTGGCCGCCGTGCTCCAGATGGATTCATAAATCGAAGTCTTCCTCATTTCCCTCGAATGTCCAAAACCCCTGCTGTAAGTTGAAAGTTCCTCTGTTCCAATGTCTGCAATTCTACAGATGCAGGATGCACCTTTAGTTTGATTGAATTTTAGTAGTTATTGATTGAAAATATTTGTTTATTGAATGGTTTTGCTGGGAGTATATGTATATGATAAAATTGGACTTTAGTGTTCTTCTAACGAGGATGTGCAGATGTTTGCACTTAGTTGTTGTACAGTGAGATGGGATTTCTAGGCATCAATATGGCATTATGGCCGTTATTGTTTGTTCAATTCCAAGTGAACCTGTTGGAAAAGGGTCTATAGCTATGATAATTGATGCTGCCATTATATATACTCATTGCTTGACATTTATTCTTTCACTTGCATACCTCTCCTGTAAATTCACCCCTAACCACTAATCGCTGATATATATGATTTTGTGTGTGTTACTCAGCTATAGCTCTTGGAATATGGATAAGTTACTGTATCTTCTCGATTAGAAATCAATGTTGAAGACTTCAAAAGCCATTAACTAGCTCAACATTCAATAATGTCGCCTTATCGTTGTTGTGCAGGCTAAAGGATTTGTGGCTAACTCATTCTACAGTGGATTGTCCGCTACTGAGTTTTTCTTCCATACAATGGCTGGTAGAGAAGGTTTAGTGGACACAGCGGTATGACACTTACTGCTTGTTATTTATCCTTGTTTATTGAGAAAGTGTTTCATGCATCCTTTGATAAGCCTATGAGTATTGAGTACAAATCTTGGATTTGTCTTATTAAAATCTCATATTTCTTCCAAGTTCTTTCTGTATTTCTTCCAAGTTCTTTCTGTAGCTTGAATATATACTCGACACTTAGTAGTTAATAAGCATTTGAGTTTGAAACTATCTAGGCCTCTATATTCTAACTTGAATAGTACTTATCTTGAGAATTGATTCCAACAGACTTTGGGTTCTCATAGATCAAGTGGGATCTCTTCAGTCCTAATATCTTATTACTTGTTCTTCAGGTGAAAACTGCTGATACAGGATACATGTCCCGTAGGCTGGTGAAAGGCCTTGAAGATTTATCCATTCGGTATGATAACACTGTTCGTAGTTCAAATGGTATTATAGTGCAATTCATTTATGGGGATGATGGTTTAGATCCGGTGAAAATGGAGGCGAAAGGTGGATTCCCATTAAATTTTGATCGATTGCTCATGAAAGCAAAGGTTTGTAAATAAATGCAGATTTACATTTCTGTCATTGTTAGTGGTACAATTGGAACATATGATGATTAAAGATACCTTTGGGTTAACCTTTCTGTAGGCAACCTGTCCCGTGGAAAAAGATGACTACTTATCTCCTTCAGATATGTTCAAGACCTTTGAAGATTTATTGCTAGATTATCAGACTCTTGACAACCCTTGTTCGGAGGCCTTCCGAGAAAGTCTCTGCAATTTTGGTTCCAAGTGTGTTAAGCGATTAGAGAGTATGCTAAGGAAGGTGAATGACCAAGAGGGAGGAATATCTAATGGTACAGAAGATGCTGAATCTGCACAAGGAAATAATTGGGCTACCTGCAAAGTTGTCTATAAAATATATGGTGTTACCAAAAATCAGCTGAAGGTAAGGTGGCTAATAAATCTCCTGCATTTTGATGGAATGTCAATTTATTTTTTTAACTTGGTCTCATATGAAACTTGAAGTTGAAGGTTGGTCCTAAACCAGCAATGGATCTCACTAAGCTCTGTGGAATACTAAGATGCTATTTGTTTGATGATCCTCTGAATTTGCTTCACTATTTATTATTTTTATTAATGGGATTTGTAAGGTAGTGCCATTTTCAATTTTGTTCAAGCCAACTGTAACCTTGGTCAGCCTTCCGCTAAGTCTCTGTTTCTTGGGTGATTGTTGATCTACTTGTAATGAATATATTCAAATTGAGCCGCAGGTTTTCCTGAGAACTTGCTTTGATCGTTACCTTTGGAAGAGGATTGAACCTGGAACTGCAATTGGAGCAATTGGAGCTCAAAGTATTGGAGAACCAGGGACACAGATGACACTGAAAACTTTTCACTTTGCTGGAGTTGCAAGCATGAGTATCCTTACTAATCTCATGTGACTAGCCTTTTAATGTTTGTCTTGCTCTAGTTTTACATGTTACAGTTACTGTTTTGATTACTTAACTGTCTCTTAGATATCACACAGGGAGTTCCTCGTATCAAAGAAATCATAAATGCAGCTAAAAAGATCAGCACACCCATCATAACTGCTGAGCTCGAGAATAATACTAACGTAAACGCTGCTCGAGTTCTAAGAGGGCGTATTCAGAGAACTATTTTAGGCCAGGTTAGTGTTTTTTGCTTGTAAAAAAGAAAGTTAAGGCCAATGTGCGTAAGAAGATTTATGGCTATATTCCTATTCATTCATTCACCCATCTTGGCTAACAAGTTATTATTGTGTGGATAGAAGTGGGTATTTTGTACATGATAGATGATAATGACCCACTATGTTTATATCATTGTCCAGTTCTCTAGTCTTTACTGAAGCATAAGCAGTTCCTACATGCTAAACTTCCCATGGATTTTATTCCTTTTCTGCTGCATCACAGGTTGCAAAAAGTATCAAAATTGTGATGACTCCAAGATCAGCTTCTGTTAAAGTTGCACTTGACATGGAAGCAATTCAGGAGGCTCAACTAGCCCTGGATCCTAACATTGTAAGGGAAGCGATTTTACGGGTTCCAAGATCAAAAATAAATCCAAAGGTAATAGTAAGTTTTTATTAAAGAAAAGGAAAGACGAGGTGCCCTGAAATGAAATCCCTTTTCCTGGAAATAGAGCTTGGATGTGTGTTATTATCACTACTGTTTGCAAAATAACGACGACTGCTCATAACCAGTTGTCTCAACATGCAGCATCTGAACGTTGTGGATCAGACGTTGGAAGTATCTCCACAGGGTAACAGAAATAAACTACACTTTGAACTCCATCATTTCAAAAACATGCTCCCAAATGTTGCAGTGAAGGTTAGATTTCTGCTGTCAAGTGAAAATTCACTGCTTCACTTATGCTTCCTTGCTACTTGCATTCACTGCCTCACTGCCATGTCCTCTGTTCTCTCTTATGCTATACTAGGGCATCAAAACAGTTGAACGAGCTATTATTGCCCAGAAAAAGCGTGATGGTGGTGGCGAAGATCAAGAGACCCCAAAGTACAACATGTTGATAGAAGGGTTAGTTGTTTTTTTTCTAACTTGATTTCTCTTTCTCACTTGATGCTTGTGTGAGTTATGTACGTTATTAGCTCTCGAGCAACGTATCAATTCTTTTCCAGTGTTGTAATCCCTTTAAATCTTATGCATCGATCTTTTCTCAGAACGGGGCTTCTAGAGGTGATGGGAACCGAAGGGATTGATGGGAAGAACACGACAAGTAATCACGTTATAGAAGTCATGCAAGTGCTAGGAATTGAAGCAGCAAGAAGGTGCATCATTGAACAGATCAAAGACACCATGGAAAGCCACGGCATGAGCATAGACATGCGCCATATGATGCTTTTAGGAGATCTGATGACATTTCAGGTACCGAACGAGTCCATTCGTTTCTTTGAGCATGGGATGATGATTGTTATGCATTGCATCACCACGTTTTCTTTGACATGAATGTATGTCTGGTTAACAACACAACAGGGTGAAGTGCTTGGGATCACAAGATACGGTATCCAGAAAATGGACAAGAGTGTGTTGATGTTGGCTTCCTTTGAGAGAACAGCGGACCACCTTTTCAATGCAAGCGTGAACGGGAGAGTAGACAAGATAGAAGGGGTCAGTGAATGCATCATAATGGGGATCCCTGTCCGCTTGGGCACCGGAATGCTCAAAGTCCGCCAAAGGTAGGAGATTCTACAATCTCTCTCTTTTAAGTAGTAGGGTGTGCAACTAGTGGTTCATAGTCACAATAGATGAATCGAATCAGGTCGATATTCGAAATGCATGCTGACTGGATCGATTCTATAGATTAAAGTTGAGGAACAAACCAAACTGAGATGATCCCAAAGTGGACAAACGCACTTGATTCGACGCTAATCGATCCCCCTGTACTAATATGGTCCAATTGATCTAGACCAGAATCGGATCAGACCAGACCATACAACCCTCTTATGTGGAGCAAAATGAACGTCATCCCAGTTACTTCTACTTTCTGGCGGATTGTCTAAAATTGGAACGATACTTTCTTGCGGACTGACTATCTAGTTCTTTGAATGTATATTTAATTTGTCATGAATTGTTTGTCCTTTGCAGCCTGATCGGTAATATTGTGCTGTGGTTGCAGGGCTGATTATGCCCCGACCATGTTGCGGTATGGACCGGATCCTATTGTGGCTTAGAAGATTGGCTGGTTGGCTGGCTGGCTGGCTTCATAGGATAGAAGTTGCAAACGATGTTAGAAGAAGCTGGTTTTGGTCTGTTTTCATTTTGGTTGGCTCTCCAGGAAGTAGTAGTTTTGTTTTATTCAATATTTCTTTTCAATTACGGCATTAACACAACCCCTTGGAGACAGTAGGAGGATTTTCATGTATTGATAAAGGTGATGCTACCTTGTTCTAATAAGTTTCGACCGAGCAAATAGGCAAATGAAACTACTAGTTCTAGTTAAAGCAGGGTGTCGACAAGTGAAGTCTATCTTTACTCCATTTCTTTATGGATCAAACGTATTACTCCCCTAATATAGTTCGTCATTCAGGATCTAGTTATCTTTCGCTTATTGCTTACCAGTAACTTGTAAGACACTTAACCTATTGTACGTTATCATCTTACGTAAAAGATTCATAATCATAACCCTCGGACTCGGATCCTTTCAACTCAAAATCCAATGGTGCGTAACAAACGCCTAGAACAATAAAGATAGTAGATTAGTCTTCAGTTTTGCTGGTAAACGCTGAACTTGTAAATCGCAGCAGCGCCTGCAAAACCAGCTGGTACGTTGCAGTCCTAATTCACCCAGACATATCACTAGCAGATAGCTAAGGGCTCGGAAGTACCTACTACCACCCAGCTAAGAACCTAGCAAGCGCAGGACTGCATGTACCGTACAATGATGCTCCACATTTTGCTGCATGATTAAATACAAACAGATCAACGACACACGCCATATAAAAGGCTGTCTAATTAGACCTAGCAGATTTTTATGCAAAGTGAAATTGGGCAAGATTAATTGACAACTGATGACCTGCTGAAGAGTATAATCACGTTCCAATTGGCGACCCCCGAAAATGAAACGAACAGCGTCGACTGGCAGCCCGATCGAATCACAGAATGCTTGCAACAGCTTCTCCAACGGGGCAGCTTGATTAATATTGTACGTGTGAGTCTTCCCGTCCTGTTGCCAGATTAATTCATACGTTAATCAACCTCAAAGCACAGCATTATTGTTATTACTCATCAGTTTCAACTAAAATGAGACTATTCCGGAGCTAATTGATTAACTAGAGTGTCACATACAAAGTTCTTCACAAAGACGCATATCTCCTTTGGCCCCTCCAGATCAATTATTGGGACTGCATCTATAACATCACCTTCCTTCATCTTTACCAACTTAGGGGTGTCGTCGTGATGTAAATTGCGGCCATTGTACAAGAAACGAACATCATCTACAACCAGCTCGTTCCAATCGCAGTACGATAGCATCAATTTACGCAACTGGGTAGCTGGATTGATTCTGAACAGCATAGAGCTCCCAGCCTAGATTTCCAGAACTTATGTGTTAAAACAAGATCACACTATTCCAGAGTCAATTGATAGATTAGAGCATTACATACCTGGCTCTTCACTTTCACGATTATCTTCGGCTCCTCCTGATCCATTATTGGTACTCTCTGTTTGTTCTACGAAAGAAAGTTGTACTCCAACTCCGGCTGCAAAAAATCGATTTTTTCAACTCGCATCTCAGAAGATCGAACGATTTGAGACATCTCTAGATACAAACAACCCAACTCGAACAATCACATCATTCACAGGATCAGACCTTCAAATCACAAAAACAAACTCCGGATTTCTGGTGTCATGAGTTATAACCAAGTCAAATGCTCATCAAACGAATCTGACATGGATAAAGAAGATATATCGACCCAATGGAGATATCCTAATCCGACTAAATTGATTCTCCAACTAACCCCCAAGAGTATTAAAATTCCACCACAAGCAGATGATTAACAGAATTAGCATACCCCATAAGGGAAACAACACCTCATAAAAATTCCAGAACACATAACCAAACTACCATCCACTCAATCAAGTTCCATAGGAAAACCCAAGTTGCCTTTTCATCTCAGGTTCCAACTTCCCATCATCAGTTCGTTTTCTTTCAAAGTATTGAAAGAACCCTATTCAAATTTCTAGGTACACTCTAGACTAGCTGACTGAAGAACAAAGCGACAAGGGGAAGAAGACATAAATCTAGATGAGGCAAGAGTACTCACAACTGTGTTGTTCCACAAAGGAAGATAACCAAACTGGAATTGGGAGCTCGGAGGAGAAATAAATATGGCGCCGTGGAAACTGGAGAGTACCTCTTTCTCCTTGTCTCTCACGTCTCAACCTAAACCCTTTTTATAACAGTTGAACTAGAAATGGTTGGGTTGGGTTGGGTTCAATCATTTTTAAGAGGGTTACTATTTGCCGCCCGGGCAATTACTATTTGTCGCCCGTAAAAAATACTAAAAAGACAATTTTGCCCTCCAAATATTTCTTTATATTCTATTCGCTGAAATGGTTTTTTATACACACTACCCGAGTCCCGACCACCAACCCCCTACAAACACCACAGCCAGATTCACGGCCACCGGACGGCAGCCAAACTCGCCGGCCACCGGACCAATCTCGTCAGGATAATTCGCGGGGCACTGGACGGCAGCCGTACCCCGTCGTCGGACCAGCGAAGCAGGTAAACCCCACTGATCCTGGATTTTTTTGTCGGTCCGCTCGCCGGCGTCGGACCCCGTTCGCTGACCGGCGTCGGTCGCCGTTCGCTGGCCGGCGTCGGTCGCTGTCCGATGCCGGCGAGCGGACGAGGTCCGACGCCGGCGAGCGGACGGGGTCCGACGCCGGGGACCGGATGCATGGGCAGTGTCATATTTTTTTCTATTTTATTTCTAGAGCTAATAATTTATATTTAATTTATTGCTTTTATTTCTATTTTACATAGTTAAATTCCTATGTAGTTTGAATTAAGCGATTGTATTTTGTTGTAGCGCTAATTAGTTTCTTACTGTCAAATTATTATTATTTTGTAGAGTTAATTGAAGCACAATTAGTTTAATTAAGCGATTGTGTTTTGTTGTAGCGCTAATTAGTTTATTGTGTTTAGATATAATTCGTAGAGCTAAAGAAGTTTAATAATTTATATTAAAATGATTTTCTTATCGTCAAATTATCATTATTTTTTAGAGTTAATTAAATTATTGCATTTAGTTTAATTTTGTAGAGTCAATTGAAGCACAATTAGTTTAATTAAGTGATTGTGTTTTGTTGTAGCGCAAATTAGTTTATTGTGTTTAGATTTAATTCGTAGAGCTAATTTGGTTTAATAATTTATATTTAAATTATCTGTATTTTTTAGACTAAATTAAATTATTGCATTTAGTTTAATTTTGTAGAATCATATAATTTGTACATTTCTAACTAGTTGTAAAATCATAATTGCAGGTGGACATGGCTGACAATGTTGAACTAATTGGTGATTACACAGACCATTTTCTCAATGGCGTCCGATATGCCAATTTCGAAGATGCTGTAACAGTGACCAAAAACATCGCGATGTCTCTTGGTTTCTTTCTAACTAAGGGATCGATGAAGCCACGTGAGTTGATCAACAAAAGAGTATTGGGTATCTGTTATATGTATTGCGATAGATGCAGTAGGGAGAGGAAGTCATACAAGCCGGATCCTTCCAAGGAGAGTCGTGGCAATACAAGTTCAAAAGGAGCGGGATGCATGTTCAAAATTAAAATCAATGAACTACTGGTTAATCCAGATGCTCTTGATGGACCTTCATTCTGTGAGATACAAGGAGTCGCGGAGCAAGAAACCGGTTTAAGGCGAGGGTATCACAATCATGAGAAGATGCTTTATCCCGAGGGCCACAGTCAAATGAATAAATTGAGTCAGGAGGATAAAGAATCGCTTAGGCAGATGAGAGATGCTGGGGTACCTCCGTCGCAACAGAAGCAGACAATAAACAAGCAGAAGGGTGACAAAGGGCATCACACCCAAAGGCAGATGTATAACCTCGGGTCCAAGTCTAGGAAAGACGAGATGGGCGAGATGAATGCAGTGCAGTATGCGTTGCTAGAAGCTGAACGTGAGAATTATCATACAGAGGTTATGAAGGACGATGACGACGTGCTGACACATCTTTTTTTTTGCCCATCCAACTTCCATCCAGATGTTGAAGGCTTGGCCGTACGTGATTCTGATCGACTCAACGTATAAGACCAATGCATATAAATGGCCGTGGGTGCGAGTGCCTAACGTACCATGTCATGTAATCCTCACCAAACTCCCATGGCCTACGTCGTATCGGAGCAGAAAAAAGGTCCAGATGCACACTATGCGCCCCCAAGTTGTTCCAATACGAATCATAGACAGACTGGTAGCTAAGAGAGTATCCAAGCGTGGAAGCAGGTCGACGCACAACAAGCGGACGCTCCGGTGGATACGGTACACCCTGCACGTAGCCTAACTGTCGGAGGCACCTAGTGGGATCATAATATTCTGCTATCTCTGCAAATCTGAGCAGGCCCTGATACAAGGTACGTCTCACCGTCAGATGAGGACTATGACCATACGGAGTCCAACTAACTGACTGAGGGGTCAAACTATCAATCGCTTGCTGATAATAAGCCAGCATCTGTGCATCCCTCTTCTTACTCGACCGGGGTGCTGTACCGTGCCACCTGAATGCTCCTGCCTGCCCCCGCTCCAGCTCTCGTGGCTCCAACCGACTAGGCCTCAAAGTAGGAAAGTGGTCGTAAATCCAACACTGTAGTAAAGTCAGACAACCCGCCACTCCCTTAGCCTCCGCCCGGGAGGCAATACCAAGCTGCCTGTACAGATAAGGAAGTGCTCCTGCCCCCCACGCATACTCTCCTACCATATCCGGCCTCTTCACAAACAAGTTCACAACAGCAGAAACGCGGTCCTTACTCTTATCTACGAACAGTGTCGACCCAAGCAGCAAAAGAAGGTAACACTGAGCCTCTCTAGCTGGCGGACCAGACTGCTGCAAATGAGTCAAAGCTCCCACACCCAACAAACCAAATCCTCTGTACCACCTAGACAGACTAGCAACCTCGCCAACCTGCGCCCCGTACTCATCCTCGTCACGATCTAATCCCAGTAGTGCTCGGATGTCAGCCTCCAGTGCAAACTTCTCCAACTGCCTCGGATCCACTACCATCGCCTCTCCGTCAACCGCAAGCCCAAGAATGTGTGCCACGTCGTGAAGGAGGATCGTCATCTCTCCAAACGGCATGTGGAAGGTGTTAGTATCCGGCTGCCACCTCTCCACAAATGCCGAGATGAGAGCAGGGTCCAACTCGCTCTGGAAGGTGATATGAACGAGGTGAGCAAGGCCCGATGTCTCTACGGTAGTCCTAGCGTTATCATCTGCTATCTGATAACCGCCGAGAACGTGACAAAGGGTCGCACTCCTGTCGTAGCAAGTGATCACCCCTCTATCAGCCTCTCCCGTGTACAGACGGTGGGCAACATGCCCAAGAAAGCTACGAAGCAAACTCGGGTCGCTCGGCCCTCCAGGACACGGTCCTCTAGGCTCCCAGGCCTCTCCTACATCAGCAGTAGAACTCTGGCCCTCACCAAGATGTGGAGCTCTATAGAAACGCCCCGCATGGTCTCTATAGATCCCAGTAACAGCAGGAACCCCAGTAACGACAGGTGACGCAACGCTGGGGGCACCTCTGTCTCTGACTGGACTGACTCGTGGAATACGATACTCAACAGCATCCGACTCATACTCCTCCGACTCGTCGTCAATCTCGTCTGAAGGCTCAAACGGTGAAGTATGATGATCAATACTGGGACCAGCTCCACTACCACCCATACTAGGCAACTGAAAATCAAACTGAGGGAAACCGACTGCCCTATATCTCATCGGTGTCACCTGTGGCTGTGGCTGTGGCTCATCTCTATCATTTGGGTCCTTATTTCTCGCACTAGCGCTAATGTTACGCCCAAGGAATCTTTTCAATCTCTTTCCTGGTCCTCCAGAACTACGTGATCCTCCAGAATTACCAGATGACGCCATCTCTAAACATAGACAATAATTTTCTATTAATATCTTATTGGAAATTATTTGTTGAGCAATTACTTGTTGTTTCATAGAGTATTTATGATACATACAATTTGTTATCTACTTAATATTTCGTTTGATGTTATCTACTTAATTTAATTAATCTGTTATAATAAATTATTAGATTAGCAATTTCTTCATAGTCATAATTTATCAATTACTAATTATGATACATACAACTTGGTTATCTAATTAATTTATCAATTACTAATTAATTTAACTAGATAGTTATTCAAATAATTATTTCAACTTACCCAATTAATAAACTAACACATTATATAATTAATTAACAATTATAATTATTTCAACTTACCCAATTAATAAACTAACACATTATATAATTAATTAACAATTATAATTATTTCAACTTACCCAATATATAAACTAACACATTATATAATTAATTAACAATTATATACAAATTAATCAACTATCAATATTAAACTAATTAATATACTAACAATTGTATTTAAAATAAATCTAATAAATATTTCTTTAAACCGAACCATTCAAACCGAATCAGAAACTCAATCAGACCGGTCCGACCAGACCGGGAGGACGGGGTCCGCTCCGACCAGGCGGACGGGGTCATCACGATACATCTCCTTCCTCCATCTTTACCTGCTTAGGGGTGTCATCACGATACATATATAGTGGCGTATTCGGTGCACTAACTTTTTCTGGTGCATTTCATAATAGCCATTTTAAATAGGCGATTCATGTCAAAACGATGTCAATCATTACTTGTGATATGATAGACATGAAACCCCATGAATTTTAAAAAAAAAAAATCATTAAGTATCTACTTTGATTTGAAGGATTCGGGATTTAGGGATTTACGGTTAGGGTTAGAGCTCACATTTTGGGATTTTGTGTTGGTGTTCAAAATTGAAGGTTTAGGGGTTTAGGTAATGAATTGATTAGTTGAATGTGTTATATCATCATATTATACTAATGCTACCAGTTAAAATTCAAAATTTGATGTCTATGGCTACTTTTAGAGTTGGGTGCATTCAAAAAAACGAGTGCACCGAAATATTGAACAAATATTTTAACATTATTAGAATAGAGGACGAGTGATGTTGTGGCATAATGGTGAAGCTCTCAAAGTAAATTTCTTGCACCCACTCTAATTCCGCAGTGGCATGAGTAATAACATTGGCATGAGTCATAACACGATACTAGAACGAGGAACAATACGTTGTTTCTGTGACCGCCAAGAGATGAGATTTTATCCGAGATCAATAAGACATGCGAAAATGGAGATACGATCATCCGGATTACCCGCCCAATCAGAATCAGCAAATGCAGACAGAGCAAGTGGAAGCGATCAGACGTCGAATAGATAGTTCATAATGCATGGTGCCAGGGATATCATATAACACATGATAAACACACTGATATAACACAAGATAAACACCTCGAAAAATAAACAACCCACACTAAGAATAGGATAGTAGATTAGTCTTCAGTTTGGTACGCTGAACTTGTAAATCTCAGCGCATGCAAAACCAGCCGGTACGTTGCCTTGCACAGTTGCACTGCAATCCTAATTTACCCATATTTACCAGTAGCTAGCTAGGGCTCGGAACTACTTAGTACCAGCCAGCTAAGATCCTCGCAAGCGCAGGACTACATCTATCACATCATCATCCTCCATATTCACCTGCATGATTATATACGAACAGATCAACGACACAAACCAAAGGAAAGGTCAGATCATTAGACCTAGCAGATTCTTCTGCAAAGTAAAAAATGATTTGGGTGATTAATTGGCGATTGATGACCTGCTGAGGGGTAACATCACTGTCCAAACGGCGACCCTTGTAAATGAAACGAATTTGGTCGACTTCCATCCCCATCTGATCACAGTAGGCTTGCATCAGCTTCACGAACGGGGTAGCTTGATTCATTCTGAACGGGGTCGGAGGTCTTCCGTCCTGATACCAAATCAATTCATATGTTAATCAACCTCCAATCACAGTATTATTATTCCTACAATGAGTCTGTTCAGAGCTAATTGATTAATTAGAGCGTCACATACCATGGCCTTCAGAAAGACGAGTATCTTCTTCGGCCCCTCCTGATCCATTACTTGGACTGCATCTATAACATCTCCTTCCTTCATCCTAACCAACTTGGGAGTGTCTTCACGATGCAAATTGCGGCCATTGCACGAGAAACGGACATCATCTGCAACCAGCTCGTTCCAATCGCAGTACGATAGCATCAGGCCCCGCAACTGGGTAGCTGGATCAATTCTGAACCGCATAGAGCTCCCTGCCTAGATCCCAGAATTGATGTGTTAATCAACCACCAATAACAGTATTAGTAATACCTATAAACGTTTAGTTAAAACAAGATCACACTATTCCAGAGTCAATTGATTGATTAAAGCATTACATACCTGGTTCCTCACTTTGACGATTATACTCCTCGACTCCTGATCCATTATTGGTAATCTCTGTTCGTTCTACGCGGAAAATTGGACCCCCAACGCCTGCTGCAAAATAGTTTTGAAAGAGCACAGACAGCAAGTACCTAATCTGATAAAACCAATTTTGTCAAATCATAGTTAAATCATTCAAAAGATCGAACGACGAAACGTCTCTGGATACAAACAACCTCACTCGATCAATCACATCACAGTATCAGACCTTCAAATCCCAAAAGTTGAAACCATTACTGACCTGAAGTTGTGATAACATCCAATCCTAACTCTGGGACATTCAAGCTCAAACTAGCTCAAGTCAAATGCGCATCAAAACGAATCTGACAAGGATGATTAATCAACCAATGGTGTTATCCTAATCTGACTAAATTGATTCTCGAAATAACCCCCCAATGATCTTATAATTCCACCACAAACAGATTGATAAACAAAATTAACAACCCAAAATGGAAACATCACTGAAACACCACTCACTCGATCAAGCTCCCTCGAAAACCCTACTTGCCTTTTCATCTCAAATTCCTCACTCGAACAAACCCTAAAACCAAACAACTATGATCACAGCAACTTTCCTCCTGGAACTCACTCATTTATTTCAAAATACGAATTCCATAGTGAAATTCTCATACCCAGACATACTAATCCACTTAATACCTACAGCCTGTATCATCTACAGGTCATGAAATGAAACCTTAGAATGACTCCTCCGGCTGAACTTTAGAAAGTAGACAGAAGACCAAAGCGGCAACTAGAACAAGCAATGAATCAATCTAAAAGAGGCCAGAGTACTTACAACGGCGTTGGTGAATCCTTTTCAGAGAAGAGAAGGAAGAAGAAGAAGAAGAAAAATCCGAGAAGAATGCGAGAATTGAGAGCTTGGGGAGGGTATACCTCTTTTTTTTTTAGTTTTTTAGGTAAATTGCAGAGTTAGGTTAATGAGATTACTAAAAAGTTCATATTTGGTCATTAAAAATATTTAATTTCATTCGTGATTATTAAAATTAGTTAAACGTTTTAAGTTTGGCTACTCTCCGTCCAACTCCGTTAACTTTTGGTGATGTGACAGTCAACTTTGATAATTAACCGTTAAAGATGTGATTTTGCAATTAAAAAATATTTAAAAAATAAAATTTCATTTTATAAAATTTCCACATCATTTTAGAACAATTTAAAAATAAAGTTAAAGAAGACCCATGACCCAAACCGTACTTTCTTTACCCGCCCGACCTTTTCCTTCTCTTGCCTCCCTCCGGCCTTCGCCCGGCTCCAATCCTCTGACCACCACAGCCAAAGAACCCTACGCCCAGACTTCCCCTCGCAACGCCACAATATGCGACGCGATCACTCATTCTCTTAAACTCTTCTACACTAGATTTGTCTTGCTTTTGCTTTCTTCTCCATGAGACTCCACGAAATCGAACCGCCATGCGAGAGACAGGTCGGATCTGAAAAAGTTAAACTACTCACAAGGTAAGTTGTGAGTAGATACTTACAGAGTCAGAGAAAAGGGTAAAGAAAAAGAAGAAGTGACGACCCATTAAATTCCCAACCACCTTTAACTCTCTAAACCTCTTTCTCTCTCTCATTTCTTTTTTTGTAATGGATATTGGTCAGTGATATTAGTCTGTGTGAGACTGTGAGGTGGGTATTAGTCTCTATGGTGAGGATATTAATTATGGGCTGACTAGATATTGGTCTTAGATGATATTTGTTATGGCGAACGGATATTATTCTGGGTGGTTTGGATATTTGTTTTGTATGGATGTGTTATTCTGACGAAGAGATGGAAAGAGAGGAGGAGACTCGCATATGATTTTTTTTTAATTTATGGGCCCCCTTTTCTCGGTAGCTGGATAGTGAGAATGGATCAGCCTTTTTTTAATTTCTGGGCCCCCTTTTCTCTGTCTCTGTAAGTATATACTCACAACTTACCTTGTGAGTAGTTTAACTAGGTTGGGTCGGATCTACACTTGGTTTTCCTTGCTTATGCTTTCTTTTCCATGGGATCGACATAAGAAGTAGGGTATAAAGGGCGCACGAAGAAGACGGATCTGGAAGGGGAAGCTACTTGATGGACATGAGCCTGCTCCGTCATCGATTAATCTTCCTGTCGGACCAGTTTGCTTCCTCACCTCCAAAATGGGAGATTCGGATCGAATGCACCTCCCTTTTGATTTCAACCCTTAAATCAAATGCTTTATTTCTACCCCTCCCTCTTTGGTTCCCCATCTATTCGCATACCCTAACTAGAAATGTTGACCAAATTCAGGGAATCTATTTTCACAACTCCCTCTAACCCCCAGCTTGTATCTCGATTAAGCTCAAAATGGTTACTGATATTGATCGGTGGTTGTTTTCATGTTGCTAGTGGATGTATTGGGTGATGTATAGGGATGCCGGCGATGGCGAAGAGAGGTAGAGTGGTGAAGTGTTCGCCAGAAGGAAATAGAAGCAATGCTAGCTAGTGGGAGAAGAAGGGGATGAGTGCATTGCTGATGGCGGCAGTGTCAAGGATTGGAGGTAGGCTTGGCAACATGGCCTATCCGCAACCCGCCCGAATTGCTAACGAATTTTCCCCAAATCCGCCTCATTACTAATATCGGGCTTGTTTTGAGGCCCAAGCCCGAAACCATCGGGCAACTGGTTTACCCGCTACTACAAAAAAAACCGATGAAAACCAACAAAATACACTAGGGGGTCATTTGGATCTAGGTTTTTAATTTGTGGGATTTTGGCTCAAATCACTTGTTTAAAAACCTAGGTTTTTAATTTGTAGGATTTGTGTGGGATTTTAAAATAGCTGATCACCATCAGCTATTTCATAATCCCACAATTGTGGGTTTCTGAAATCTCTAATATTTAAAATCTCTTATCATATAATTGCTTTCCAAACGAGTGATTTTAATAAAATCCCACATTATGTAGGATTGTGCCCAAATCCCACACCCAAAACCTGCATCCAAATGACCCCTAGAATTGAAACTGAAAACTGCATAAAACAGACATCACCATTCACCAAATCATCATCCAAACATACCAAATCATCATCCAAACATTATGAGAGGTATTTAGTTATTTACACTTTGTAAGAGATGAGGGTCTATATATGGAGCACCTCCTCCTCATTTGTAATCGTCCATCATTTTTTAAGCAATACATCTAGATAGTTTCTCCCATCTTCTTGTGTCTTCTTCTTGTGAGTTGAGTGAGTTTGAGAGCTTGTGAGAAGGCTTCTTAGCATCTCTAACGAAATTGAGAGCTAAGGGACGGTCGAGTGTAAGGTCGTGACACCACTCGCCAGCAAACTCCAGAGCCCCCATATATTTCTCTCTCCGGCGAGCAAATCTCCCTCATTCAAGATAGCGACAACCAAATTTGCGATCAAGGGACACCTCGGCCGCCTAAAGGACGACCTTTAACAGAATCTGTTTTGTAGAGGATGTGTATTCAGGGGCGGCTAGGGAGGTGACCAGCAAGCTGTAACTAATGAATAGACGGTATATCGCACGACCCTACGCCGTTGAAAAACGATTGCGCTCATTAAACGAGTTAAACGCTTAGCTTAAGTTCTCTCCAATTAAATAAATAACAATACAAAATTACCCGGCCAATGATGGGAGCAAATGACTAGACCAACCCAGTTAAGGTTTTAAGGAAAGAGGAGGGTTGTACACAGATGAAATGTCTTCCCGATTCACTGATACCAAAAGAAAATACGCTCTACACATAGATAGATAGATAGAACAATGAACAACGTAAATCCATACCACAAGTAGTCTCTTATTCACACAAGGCAAGAGAGAAAGGAGCAGAAACGATGGCTGCAGAGGCACGTAGGGCAAGAATAATGTATCACAATCTTTATCCATACCAGCCCAGCTATAGCTAAGATCCTGTCTGGTGAACGAACTCATGGATAACATCTCCATCCGTCATATTTAGCTGCATGATTACGAACGGAAAGGTCGGATAAGTAAGACCTACATGACTGGCTCAAGTAGCTACCATAATGTATACAAGTAAACGAATTGGGGCGATAAATTGTAAGGAGAAGAACGTATCTATATATGCGAGCCATCGATGACTTACCTTCTGAGCCGTATCATCACGAAGCAAACGGCGGCCATTATGCAAAAAATAAACATCGTCAACTACCAGCTCTTTCCAGTCACAGTACGATAGCATCAGCCTCCGCAATGGGGTAGCTTGATTAATTCTGAACAGGATGCTGCTCCCATCCTAGTTCCCGAAGTTAAATTATGTTGATCATCCAACAGTGAGTATTATTTATACATTTAACTACAACGAAGACAATTCCATTGATTAGAGTATTACATACCATGCCCAGGACTTTGACAATTATATTCTGCGGCTCCTTATCCATTACTCGGGACTCTCTGCTCGTTCTCCTGGAAGAATTGGACTCCATCGCCGGCTGCAAAATCGTGCAAAAGAGTAGAGACAGCCCTTAGATGCTTTAGCCCTTTAAGTACCTAATCAGCAGTTCTGTCAGATCATAGTAGATAATTTCAGACGATAGAACAACTCGAAACATCTTTAGATACAAACAACTTAACTCGAATGATCAAATCACAAGCTATGTTATAACCATTACTTATCCGAATCGATATAAGAACCAATCCTATCTCAAGAGGTCCAAGCTCAGATTAGCAAAGTCAGATGCGCATCAACTAAATCTGACATGGATGTAGAGGATTTATCAAACAATGGTGTTATCCTAATATGACTTAATTGATTCTCCAACTAATCCCCAAGATCTTAAATTCCAATACAAGCAGATGACTAAGAAAATCAAGAAACCCATCAAGCAAACATTAGTTCATATCATTCCAGGACACATAATCTGATAATCAAAATACCACCCACTCCAACAAATTCCCATGAAAACCCTAATCGCCTTCTCATCTCAAATTCCAACTTCCCATCAAACCTTTGCTTGCTTTACGTAACAGACCACCTAATAATCCCTGAATTACAGCCAGAAAATCCACTACAACTTGCCCCTTGAACTCAATCATTCATCACCATATTGAAATTCTCATACCCAGCCCTATGAAACCACTTAATGACTTGATAACTAAAGCCTAAATCGTCTACAACTCATGAAACCTCTGAATGCCTTCCCTAGCTACACTATAGACAGTAGACTGAAGAACAAAGCGGCAACGGGAAGAAGACATGAATCTAGCAGAGGCAGCAAGAGTACTCACTGCTGTATTGATCCGAGAGGTTAGACTAGAATTTGGAGCTCGGAGAGGAAAATGGGAATGGCGCCGTGGACTGGAGTGGAGAGTGCCTCTTTCGCTTCTCAACCGAAGAAACCCTTTTCCCATTGAAGTCGCCCCAACGTTCTTTATATAAGTTTTTAAATGGTCGGTTGGGTTGACCACTCAATCAATGAACTTATTTGATATGGGTTTGGCCGTTGAGTTGAACCGGATCAACATTGTATCTTGTCTAATTTGGTCATGTTTGGTCCAATCCAAATTACAATCGCTCTATCTTCGAAAATTATAAAATTCATGATTAGTAATCAGATTACATTATATTCTATTCGATAATCTTATTTTCCTAATTAAGAATCATAAATATTGAGAAAAAAATTATCCGCAAGGAGTCCGAACAACAATTGATTTGATCCGATACGATCCGGTACGGTCCAACCGGTTGCACACTTACTTCAACTTGCAGTCCCCGCGCCAAGCCCAGTGACACTGGTTCTCTTAAACCCTAAACCTAGCTGACCATCAGAACTAGGAACACAAAGAAGCGGGAACTAAGGAGTTCTTGCGTCGGATTAGCTTGTTCCATTTGAATACGGTGCGAATTTTGCAGTTCAACCTTGAGATTCTCCCCAAGCTCTTCCGGTATTCTTTTTTCCTCCCGTCTGGTTTCCATTTTTACGAAGGTTGTCTGAAGTTTCGTTCTTTTTAGTCTGATGGCTCTTGGTTCACTAAGCAAGAAGAAGGGCTCAAAATCGAGCAAAGGCCCACCTAAGAAGAAGCAAAAGGGTGACCTTTTCACCGAGAAACGCCCCGAAAAGGCTGACCTTTCGGACGATTCCGATGTCTCGAATGAAGAAGTAGAGGAATTGGAAAACTTCGATGAAGACTCTGGTTCTGAACTTCTGTCCGGAGACGTTGATCCTCTAGCTGATGATTTCCTGCAAGGGAGTGACGATGAAGGTACCAATTTTGCCGAATCCGTCTCCCTGCTTCCTTCATTACTGTTTGGTGGCACAGGAGAAGGGAATGCTTCATGTTTGTTGACGTCTGGTTCTATGTGATCTGGTTTGATTTAGAAGAAAATTCAGGCTCGGATTCTGCTGCTGGTTCAGACGGTTCAGACTCTGATTCAGAGGTATCTGATATTGAGCGGAAGTCTAGAGCTCTTGATGAACGTAGAGCAAGGGAGGAGAAAGATGCAGAGGATGAGCTGCAGACCAATATTGCTGAGGAATCGGACGAGTTCTGGCTTCCAACAGAGGAGGTCTGGAGTATTTTCTAGTTCCTGCTCATTCTACAAATTTTGAATGTATTGGTGTCTTCTGTTTGCTTCACTCATTTTGTGCGTGCGTCCTAATGAGTAATGTCATTTCAGGAACTTGAAGCTGAGGCAAATCGCCCTCCTGACCTTCAGAATCTCCAAAGACGAATCCAAGAAAGTAAGATGTACTCTCTTTTCAGTTCTAAGCTTTGTTCTTTGTCTGTTATGGAGAGAAATTGCCAACTAAATGTTATATTGATTTACAGTTGTTAGAGTGCTTTCAAATTTTAAAGATTTGAGGCAGGAAGGTGCTAAGAGGAAGGATTACATTGAGCAGCTTAAGATGGATCTAAGTTCTTATTATGGTTACAACGATTTCCTTATTGGAGTTCTGATAGAGGTGATTCAAGTATTTGGTTGACTTGCTAGAATCATTAACAAAATATTTTCTCTTCAATCTTATATAATTGGATTGTTTCATACTATTTGTTTCGTTTTACTTTCAGATGTTTCCAGTGAATGAACTTCTGGAACTTATTAATGCTTTTGAAAAGCCAAGACCTATATGTTTACGAACAAACACTTTGAAGGTGAGAAAGGCCTTCCATTGCCGGAGCCAGTTCTCTGGCCAGTTTCATGGTTAACCTTATGCTCATTGGTTTATGGTGGATGAATCCACGTAGGCAAGAAGACGTGATTTGGCTGAGGTCCTGTTGAAAAGAGGTGTGAACTTAGACCCCTTGAGCAAATGGTCAAAAGTAAGAAAATGTTTCTGGTGTTTTTCTTGTGTGTATGTGCATATTATTGTCAACTTATGTTGTTAAGATGTCATCAGGTTGGACTGGTTGTGTATGATTCACAAGTGCCAATTGGGGCTACTCCCGAGTACATGGCTGGGCTCTACATGGTAATTGTGATTTGTGCAGCTTCATATTCTTCATCATGCCAGTTTCCTGAGTTATACAGTTATAGTTTATGACTGAATAGCTGTTTGATGACAGCTACAAAGTGCAAATTCATTTTTGCCTGTTATGGCGCTTGCTCCACAAGAAAAGGAGCGGATTGTCGACATGGCGTAAGTAGTAATCATTATGATTTTTTATGTCTTCGCTTTTGATGAACTGGTTGTATAACTTTTCAATTCTTGAATGGCTTACCTGCCACTTGAATTTATACCAACAATTGTGAAGATATATCATATTATCAGTGCCAAGTATTGTACTCTGCCACTCAGTTAAGAAGAGAGAAATTGTTTTGGATGATTGGTTGCATAGTTCATTTGCCTTAAAGCTCGTTCGATAGTGCTAACTACTCTATTACTTGTGTTATATTTGTACTTTTGGTGATTGTGGTGTGTTAAAAGTCCCATGTACACGTTGATATTGTAGTGCTGCCCAACTGTGGGTTTGAACATTGGAACTCATCGTTTCGTCCTTTCCTTCTCAATGATTAGGTTCATTAAGTGTGCATTGTCATCGTTTCATGTTGAATTTGTATATGTATATGACGTAGCAACTTCTTCCTGTCACAGGGCTGCACCTGGTGGCAAAACAACATATGTTGCTGCTCTTATGAAAAATACAGGTATGTTGTGATGCTTGATAGCTTATTCTCTTGCTTGTAGCTTATCTTTCATCAGCCTTCTCTGATATTATTTGTGAACAATAGATGAACTCTTTGTCCATTCTTTTCTCAGTTCTTGTTAAACTTATAAACATGTAAATACAAAAGGAATTATTCCATCTCGAGGTGTCTAATAGCTTTCCATAAGCAACGTCTTCTCATCTAGTAACCTATTTTTTTAGGCAGAGTTAGAACTTTTCTAATATGCTAAATAATTGGTACTCCCTTGTTTTGTCATGTTATCATGTATGCTCTATCGTTCTCTTTGGTCCCTCCCAAAAATCTCTCGACTTATGTGCTGCAGGCCGTGGTTCTCATTTTGATGAATTTGGTTGTTGAGGGAAATGAGTCCCTTAAGTGTATTTGAATTTGAATATCTGATTCCCTGGTTGAAGTTACTTTGGTTCGCTTCCCGAGCTCTCACACGTGTTCAATTTCAATTATTGGTCAGGAATAATTTATGCTAACGAAATGAAGGAACCAAGACTTAAGTCACTGACTGCCAATTTGAATCGGATGGGGGTAACAAACACCATAGTTTGTAACTATGATGGTAGAGAGGTTGGTTCTTTAGCTATTGGGTTTTTGGGGTCTCCGATTGGCGCTTTTGATTTCTAATCCTTTTTCCACTATTTGGTTGTAGCTTCCCAAGGTTTTGGGTCTCAATTCAGTTGATAGAGTGTTGCTGGATGCTCCCTGTAGTGGAACGGGGGTAAGCAGCACTCGGGAATTGCCATCTAATCTGATTGCACTACCTTTTTATTGGTTGATGACACATTCTTTCTTAATAACATGCAGGTGATATCTAAAGACGAGTCAGTAAAAACATCCAAAAGCCTGGAGGATATAGAAAAAAGTGCTCAACTGCAGAAGGTAGGTAGCTGGAAGCTGTCAATCTAGCAACTTGGCTTGTTGTCAGCCTAATTTTATCTTCATTGGTTGATTGAGCTTAATAAGTTATCCTTTTGTTGCAGCAATTGATACTCAATGCAATTGACATGGTTGATGCAAACTCAAAATCTGGGGGGTATATTGTTTACTCCACATGCTCCATGATGATTGCTGAGGTCCGTACTGCTAACGGGTTATATTGGTGGATTCAATATTTTGTTCTCCTCCTCTTACATGCATTTTTGGATATTCTTCGTGTAGAATGAAGCAGTCGTTGACTATGCGCTCAAGAAGAGGAATGTTAAAGTTGTGCCATGTGGGCTCGACTTTGGCCGTCCGGGGTAATTCTAATTCTCCGCTAGCAGCTGCTATCTATATTACACCTTTGAATGTAACAATCAAATTTTTTTCTTCTTCCGTCTTTATAGGTATACTAGATTCAGAGAGTACCGGTTTCACCCATCCTTAGATAAGACTAGACGGTTCTATCCCCATGTACACAACATGGATGGTTTCTTTGTGGCGAAAGTAAGTATGGTGTTTACATATTCATACTGCCAAGTAGCCAGCCAATTTTGCTCATTTTGTCTTTGAAGAAAATGACATCCTTCACTCCCTCCTCTCCCAGCCTAGTTACTCTGCTAACTATAAGATTTGTTAGTATATACTAACTAATATCCAAAATGTATGAACTAATATCCAAGTTTGCTGAGTATCTAAATAGCATAGACTAGTATTCAAAACATCACAAACTAGTATCCAAATAGCATATACCAACTAATATCCACAAACAACCAACTAGTATTTAATATGGATACTCTTATATGTTATCTGGATACTCTTATGTGTTATCTGAATACTAATTATGTGCTATATTGATACTATTCTGTGTTGTCTAGATATTAGTTTGTGAATTTGGGATAATAGTTGATTCATGGTGGATATCAGTTAGCAAACTTTGAATACTAGTTTGTGCTCTCTTAATACTTTAGTACTTGGATACTAGTTCATGTATTTTGGATATCAGTTAGTATCTGCTAACAAATCTTCAAGTTAGCAGATTAACTTTTCCCCCTCCCTCACCAGTGTGTTACTTTCTACCTTTTCCCAGCTGAAGAAAGTAAGCAATTCATTACCTACTGCCGCAGCTGCTGAAGCTGTGCAGTCTACAGAGCAAGCTCCGCTGTCCAGTGAGAAAGACGTAGAATCTGTAGAGGAAGCTCCACTCTCCAGTGTGGAAGACGCTGTGGAGGGAAGTGTGCGGCCTTCCAAGGAGGACAGTAATAAGAAAAACAACCCAGGTCGGATAAAACGAGAACACCAAAATGGGAATGGAGCACCCAAACCAGCAGCTGATAAGCGCCGCGAGAGGAAGTTCCCATTCAGAAAGGAAGTCCCCCGCAGAACGGAAATCATAAAAGCAAGGTAGTTACCTATAAGAATGATGAAATCTCTTGTAATATCTTCATCCACTGGAAGTTCCATGTTGATTCTATCTGATGTACGTATTTTGAAACAATCTGCAGGGAGGAGAAGAGACAAGCTTTGAGGGGAACAAAAAGAAAAGGAGAAGGGAGCAAGTAGAGGAGGTCGACGATAACAGAAGCAAGAAGGCCATATACGTTGGAGGGAGGAATGCTGAGAACAGAACACACTCTGAGGAGCATGCCATGTCGTTAGAGATTTGGTCTTCTTGGTCATGTAGCTAAAATTTTAGCTTAAAATTTTGTTTGATTCTCGCCTTTATGTTTCTATAATTTTGAGTTTATTATAATTTAAGAAGACTCGCTTACTCATTATGTATGACAAAGTGGATGAAACAAGAGGGTTACAGTGCATCATTGGTCAAAAAACTTGTCTTTTCTTATCTGCAATTTACGACTTAACTCTTTGCTAAAAGTCTCAAGTCTGCATTCTGTTTTCTTTTAAAAATGATAAAACTTTGGCTGAAATCATAACGGAGTTGGTTGGAGTTGGGCTGCAAACGTGATTCCACCTGTAACCGTCAAGTCAACGTCGACGGATTCGATTCTCAGACAAGCTGAAAGAACGGTAGAAATATGATTATGATTCGTGGCAGATAATTTACAGCTAGTGCTCAATTACAAATCAAGATGTTCCCATAACTTGTCTTCCATTATAAAATCCAAAATAAAATGTGGGATTTGCAAATTCAGGAGTTCCACGGATTTGGATATAAAAAAGGGGTCAAATTAGTGGGCCTCACGGATTTGTTTCTCTTAGCAAATAATGGATTTGTGCCAAATTCTTGATGCTTGAAATTTATGTGTCAAATCCCACAAGAAAACGATACCTAACTTATCATCCTTTATCATGATGATAATTTACTATCATGGTAAGAGAATTATTTTACCATTTTGCTAAATATTATGTCAACGTGGATCATTTGTAGATAGTTAATGTAATTTAAAGTGCTACAAACTTATACATGAAATCAAGTATGAAAATTATGCGTAAAATAAGATTAACGACGGTCGACGGACAAAATAGAAAGCAAGATGATGAACCATATATCGTAACAAGTAACAAAATAGGCATTATATCGTGTGGTCACGCAATCTGAAATGATATTTTCTTGTAAAGTAACCACGAAGTCTCCTCACTCGTTATGCATCACAAAACAATATTTATACATGAAATCCATGTTAGAACAGGCATCCTTCAACTAACGAGGAAGACCAATATTCTAGGTTCCTTTTTTTATCATTGTTAATATGCTAATTCTTTGTGATGTGATATTAAATGCCAAATTTCAGAACGCTAATAAACAAATTACTATTTGAGAATCGCCATTAATAAAAATCAAAAAATCGCCATTAATAACATTTTTAATATCAATCATGGACCAATTACCATTTAACCTTTTGCTTTTGGCGAATATTCGATCTCGCCTATTTAGGAGCATTCAAATGTCTGGTTCATCTCAGGAAAAAACGATGCTTGTGTCTTTGTGAACCTAGATTTCGGGGACACAACCACCGCCAGTAGTTCTCCCACTCGCTTTCTCCTTTGAATGCAATTTTTCCATTTGTCCGAGCGACTTTCTGCTTGAGACTGGGGTTTAAATTCGCAGCCCTAAAGGGTAGCTACAGACAGAGAGAAAGCAGTGCTGAACAAGCCAAGAAGCTCCGTCTCTCTGTTACCATTGTGTTGTGTATGCAATAAAGTTCGGAGCTTTTGATCATTGTTAGTGCGGAAGAGCTGTACAGTACAGAAAAAACGGAATGGGTATGGCTAATCAAGAAGCGATCCAGCAGTTTCAGTCTCTGATGGACAAAGGTCAGCTCTCACCCAAGCTCATTTAGTCTGCTGCCTCTTACTTTTGGATTTCTGGGTATACTTGATCTTTGATTGTCCGCTTCTGCTGACGCCAGTTTGGTTTTTGTTATTTGCGTTTCTTGATCTGACAAACAGTGGATGAGCCGCTGAAGAATAGTTTCAAGGTTAATTCCCTTTGATCCTCTTCCTTTTTATTTTTAAAATTCACTGGACTCATGGGGGAAACGAAATCGGAGAAGATGGGACTGAAAGCTGAACGATCAAACTTAGTTTTGGAAAAAAACGAAATCTTTTTCTGCTAATGTAAAATGCTTTGAACCGAGAGAAAGCATCTGCCTTTGCAGCTCTTGAATATGTTTCAGAGAAGAAGTTGATCTGGGTTTGTTTTGTTCATTTTAGTTATTTGGGTTGTGATCTGATTTGTAGCATTGGCCCAACGAGGTGCCCTTGGCAGTTATACTTTCTGGGTTTTCAGTTTCTCTTGACGGAATAGAATTGCGGGGTAAACTCTTTGTTAACAGTTAGTGTAGGAAGTTTGATTTGGTATATCAGTTGCCAAGAGCTCGTGGATTTAGGTATTCTTAGACGCAACTTTTGTATTTTTTGCTAATAATGAGACGTGTATTGGTTAGTGTAACTTGGGATACTTTATCTGATTGGATACTATATGAGACAAAAATAGCATAAGGGAGAAGGGGATTTGATTATACTCTGTAGAGCTGTTTTACTCTTTCTGGTTAATTGACTTGGTATTCAGTTACTAGTCTTAGGCAAATGCTTGATTGATTCTGTATTCGGAGCAAGAAGTTCCATCATGGAACTAAATGACGAGGATAGAAGTCTTTAGGCTTTAGGTACGGAACTGTAAATATAGACGAAAGGAATAGGTGGAATACAGAAAGGCAATGCTCAAAGTCTGATATCATAAAGGTGTGATAGCATCTGGAAGTTCGACTGGGAAATCTTTTTGATGATCTATCATGGTGCCAAATGGTGATCTGTGGCTGAGAATTTTAAATCCAACTACTGTACCCTGAAGTTGCAATGGCTTGGGTGGTCTAGGGATCCTTAAGTTTGTGAAATTTAGCATAGCAAAAGAAATCACTTAGTTCACTTAACTGATTTCCGCCTTTACTGAAAGGGCAATTAGACACAGAAATAATATTGGAGAATATTAACCAAGAAGGTGCTACATTGAAATAAAATGCTGGAAGGTGCTTGGAGAATGTTGTGGCAAAGCATTACCCAAAAAATTTGGATGAAGTGTTAATTCATGATTATTTGCTGGGTCTGATCAATTAGAGAACCAGTTTGGTGTGTATGCTAGGTCTCTCCAAGGGTTCTCTTGTACGTGAATGTGAGTTGTAGTATATCTGGGAAATGGGTTCAGCTGTGTGGTTGTATGGCTCTTAGAATTTGTTGTGTGCTTTCTCTACATTGATTGTTGTAACCAAAACATTATTGTTTTGAGTTGAGTGGGATTCATTCTTGTCAACCACAAGGCATTTCTGAATTAATGCTTTATTGATTGTCTGCAGAAGGTGCACCAGGGATTTGTAACTGAAACTTTGACAAGATTTCTTAAAGCGCGGGACTGGAATGTTGCCAAGGCACATAAAATGGTTAGGTTGATTTTTATTATTATTCAATTTTGTCCATATTATCGCTTTCTTTGGTCTTTATATCCTTCGAGATTTCATTAGTTTTTCTATTTGTTGTTCTTGTCCATTGCTGCAGTTGGTTGATTGTTTGCAGTGGAGGGTACAGAATGAGATTGACACCATTTTGGCGGTTAGTTCTTTCTCTTGCTTTCTTAATTTTTACGTATGTTTTTAGCATTTCCTTCCTTTCTCTTAGTTATCTTCTATCTGTTACTTTGCTTAACCATGTATGCGGAATGTGTTTTACACACTATGATACATTTGCTTTTGAGAACATGAGATAGGTTCCTTTTGAGTTTCTTATTGTTGACTAGTTCATTATTTTGTCTACAGAAACCGATTGTTCCTACAGAATTGTATAGATCAGTTCGGGATACTCAGCTTGTAGGATTATCAGGTTACACGAGGGAGGTATAGTCATAATGCTTAAATTAAGATTTTCCTTGGGTCAATTTGTTTCATCCATCTCTTGCAATCTTTTTTTTGTTTCATCCTTGTACTTGTAGTCTAATCTGTTTATCGTTCATTAAGAAAAATAGATCTATTGACTGTTCCTTGTGTATTATCTTGAAGGGTCTTCCTGTTGTTGTTGTTGGTGTGGGGCAGAGCACATATGACAAAGCTTCTGTAAGACTCTTACACCATTACTATATCCTGTTGGTTGAATTTGCAGACATCCAATGTGGCATTGAGTTTGAAAAACTATGCTGCTTGCTGAAGTTTAATGTGGAATCTGTTTCTCCTCAAGTTTAATGTGCATTGAAACTATGGCCATATCGTAATAGTAAGAGCAGTTTATAAAGTCCAGCCAGGACCCATATGATGCCAAGTTATGAAACGATGGAACTATGAAAAGTGTAAAATCATTCCTGAACTTCTGTGCAATATCTGCCTCACATATTCAGGTTATTACTTTTGTTGCTTCAGGTACATTACTATGTGCAGTCCCACATCCAAATGAATGAATACCGCGATTGTGTAGTATTGGTGAGTCGAACTTTCAGCCATTGAGATTTCATTGCTCATTTGCTTTTCGTGTGATGAAGCCTAACCCGTTATCTGTTGTAGCCTAATGCAACCAAGAAGTGTGGAAAGCATATTAGCACATGTATTAAGATCTTAGATATGACTGGTCTAAGGCTTTCAGCTCTAAATCAAATAAAGGTACAGTCTTCTAATGTTTGATTTGCAACTCTTCCATCCTATTGGCATTTATGAATTTTACTTTCTGTTGATCTTTGAGTGCAGTTATTAACTGCAATATCTACCATTGACGACTTAAACTATCCAGAGAAGACAGACACATATTACGTTGTCAACGTCCCATACATCTTTTCTGCCTGTTGGAAGGTTCTCGTCTATTGTCTCTTCATTTTCAAAGCATTTCTAGTATCTCTATTATAAACCCATATACAATGGTGCTCACCAACGCCTAAACCTTTGTTGACAGGTTGTGAAGCCTTTATTACAAGAGAGGACAAGGAAGAAGATTCAGGTGCTACAAGGTTCTGGGAAGGACGAATTGTTAAAGGCAAGGAAGACAATTTGTTTGCTTAGGATCTGTCAAAAATACAATTTTCACAGCTTCCATTGAAACTGAACTTCCTTTTGCTTTTGCTTTTGAATGCAGATAATGGATTATTCCTCACTCCCTCATTTCTGTAGACAAGGGGCCTCTGGTTCGTCTCGTGTTGTTGCTGCTGCAAATGGAACCACCACCACAAACTGCTTCTCGTTAGATCATGCCTCCCATCAGCAGCTGTACAACTACGTTAAGCAGCAAGCTGAGCTGGACGAATCTGATTCACCACCTCTCAAACAAGGCTCGGTCCATGTAAGTTACCCCGAGCCTGACCCTGAAGATGCCAAGATCGTGAAGACGATAGAGTCCGAGCTCCACAAGCTAGGTGATTCTAATGGCCTCAACAATTCATTCAGCAGAGTCCGGGTGAATGGCATGTGAAAAAAGCTGACACAAGGAAGGAATGAATGAACATTTAGGGATGCGGTTTAGTTACTGATTTCGCACCAAAACGGAAGTACGAGAGTGAGAGATCCAGGCCTCTGCAAAACTTGAGAAAGATGGGGAAAGTTGTGAACTTTGTACTAATTAAGGTTATTGACGATGTAGCTTTTCAATTTGATGCATCAGCTCGATGCACATCTTGCAAAGTTGAGGGGCTAAGTCACCTGCATAGGGGATTGACAAGAAACATCTCAGGGTGAAATTATCTTTTTCATATCCCTCTTTACTTTTAATTAACCCTTCAGTTGGGACCTTATATACAAGGAACTACTTGCTTCAGAAGAGCTTTACTCATTTTGGCACCTTGTTTTGTAGCCAATAGCAAAAGACTATTAGGTGATGTTTTTGTGCCTAATCATGGATCAGGATGGTGCTGAAGACTTGACAAAGCTGTGATGGATTACAAATCAAAGTTTACAGTACGTGCTGTCATGTACATAAGGGGCTTTGGTAGAAGACCACTAATCAATCATGGGTAAAGATTTGGATTACACGAAACAAATCGGAGAGAATTGATGTTTGGATTCAGAAGAATTACTTTTGATTCAAGTTTCATGGTTTCTCTTAAAAATAAACAAAAAAGTACACCAAATGAAGACTGAATTAGACCAAGTACACTTTCAATTCGATTCTGGTTCTTATTTTCCCTTTGTTAATGGTGCATTCTTAGCCCCTTTCGATCTAACTGTGAACGGAACCAGACTATACACACCCCTAACTTCAACCACCTTAGTACTTAAAACTTATATCTGATCATATTAATTCCCATTTCAGAGGAAAAGAAAATTTCACTAATTTCTCAAATCCCTTCATTTCCATAGAGAATCTTCCACCTTACCATCTTTATCAATTACTTTTGCAACTTTTCGGATGATTGAGTGCAGGCTGCACATCCAACATGTTGGGAAAGCTACATGGCATTATGAAGAAGCTGTTCATAGAGATGGATGAATAAATACAGAAGCTTTGACTTCGTAAACCCAGAACAAATGTCAGGAAAGGATTCATTTACAGATTCTTTGCACTGATGAGTTTTGCTTATGAACATTAGATGCCACAAAGATGCCACAAAGATGCAAGGGAAAGAACCAAAAATAAAACAAAAAACAAAAACGCACACACACAAAAGGAAATCAATTGGAATCATTTAACTCAGCTGTTTATAGCATTTGTATGCAACGGCAACTGATGCAACGGCACAAAGCACAGCAGCAGCTGCATATGTATCTTCAAGCTCCCAGCTCTCGAGCCATGTTGGCTTTCCACAAACTCTATGAGCTAGGGATTTCTTCCCACTGTTACGACGGGAGATAAACTTCTTGTTGCCCTTTTTCTCCTCCAGTAGAGACAGCTTCCCTTCTTTCGGCTTGCTGGTTTCTGTTGAGACAGGCTTTTGACTGTAAGAAGCAGAGTTCCCGATTTCCTGGCAGCGTCCTCCAATGGCTTCAGATTCAGACACACTGCCTGCTGCAACACTTGCTTCGACATCTGTTGTTCTATGTGGCACTTCTCTGCTATCCGTCACATCACCATGCCCATTCAGTTGCAGCCGTTGTTCTTGCCACCTAATCTGGTCCTCTACTGACAAACCCATCTGGCCCCTGAATTCAACATCCCGTGTGGCTTTATAGAACAGTTCAAATATAGGAATATCTCAATCCATCAGACAGGAATTTTTTTTGTATCTCTTCATCTCAATATTTGAACATTATGTACTGTCTCAATCTTTCTTGTTTTAACACTTGTGACTCACTTTACAATAATAATGACTGAAGTCGATTTCATCGAAGTATGAAACTCTAGTTGTTCAAAACTACAGGCAAGAAACAAAAGAATACCTCCATAGCCAATCAACAATCTCTCCCCTGCCAATATGTTGTTCGAGTAATATGGGCACATCGTCTGGACTAACATATCCATACCTGTAAGGAATTCCCAAATCTTTCAGAGGAGAAAAGCACAAACTTGGCACATATATAACGGAATGGATTTTGAACTACCAGTGCCCAGTGATGCCTCCACTGGACACTTGATCCGAAGATGATAATGTTTCCAGCATACTTATGGCCCCCAATGTGTGAGCATGCACTAACAGAGACTCTAGATTGCATACCACGGACTTCTATCTCTTCTTTAAACCTTCCAATTATGGCTGGACCACAAACGCCACAACAGCGATCCCTGGAGGCATGAGAGCATACAAATACATAGCAACCATGAAGCTTTTCTGGAGTTCCAGGCATCCATTCACCATCTTTGACCAGCACTTCCTCCACAAATGTTTCAACATCGAAATGTGTTAACCTCCTGCATCGTCCTTCACTAAGTAAAATCAGATTTACCAGGAAGTAGAGCATCAAAGAACAGGAACCATAGGGAAAGAGTCAAACTTATTGACCTGTATCTAACCATGTCAGGAAAGATTAACACGTCCCCATTTGAGGTTTCTGTCCCATCATGTCCCTCACATATTGTTAGCCGGGTCTGAAAACACAGCAGCCGAAAAATTGGATGAACAAAAATGATTAAGATACTATCATTCATAAGCCAGCATAGAGTTGATGGGGGCTATTCACAAACTGAAGTTGCAGAAGACGGAAATAGATGGCACCCGGTCTCATTTCTCGCCATCTAATCCTACCAAATCAAGACAACATAACTACTCTTCAAAGAAATAAGTGCTACTAGACCATTCCAATCCGTGTACAGAGAAAGCACGTGACTAACCATCCTTGCAACTAGCACTGCAAAGTAGCAAAGCAAAACTGCAGGTTTTTATATGCGATACTTGAAAGTTGAAACCACACCATTGTAAAGGTTATAGAGGCAATCGCCTCAAGGGAACCATAATACAGAATCCAACCAACAATGCATAAATCCATAAATGGGACAAGTAGATAAAAATGACCCTCGATAAGGGCGAAGAAACCACTCGAACCTCCCAGTAATTTGTTAATAAAATTAAAGGAGTTCAATAACAAAGCAGCAGATAGAAAGTACACGAATGGTTCATAGAAATGGCTAAATTTTATGATAAACAAGATGAAAACCCAGTCATTGACCCCGTCAGGCTGTCACCCCATGTTTTTCATCTGTTCTTCGTCCCCACCAAAGGGAAAAGACCCCCCTGAATCCTACTGCACTTTAAGAATTTACACCGCCCACACAAACAAAAAAACACTCATTGACATCTCTCTCCATCCAATCCATAGTCACAACAAAGGTCTCTACCATAGAAGGAGACCTCATACGGGCTGCTCGCCAGGCAAGTAAGAAGGAGACCCACCTTCAACTTGGTTCTTTTTCCTATGGAAGATCCCACTGAGATTGGACACCAGTACCTTCTTGGATACAGATGTCTTGCCCTTTTCCAACTTCCGGACCTCCATCACCTTTTGTTGTGGCAATGTGTTCTGCTTCTGCATGACGGGCTTTGGTGGCATCCTGTTATGAAAAGGGGATGCTGCTGCTTCAGATGCCACCTGAGTTTCAGCCAGAATCCGGGAAGCAGTTTCAGCCGCCTTCTTCTGATCCCTTTCTCGCCACCTTCTCAGCTCTCCCTCCACTGCCCTTTTAGCTGCTTCAGCCATCTCGGCCCTCTTCAATGCCTCCTGGGTTGCAGCGTTCATATCCTCAATCTCCTTTTGCATTGCCTCTATTCTTTTAAGTGCTTCATTCTCGCTAGCCTTTTCAGCTTCCACTTGAGCGACAGCTGCTGCCACTTTCATTTCAGCCAATTCATTTGACTCCTTCACCTTACGTTTCAAAGCCTCAAACTCATCCCTCGAGATTGTGATATTGGCACCTGACTCGGATGTCGAGGCACGTGCGGCATTGGTTCTCTCTGAAAGTGCTTTGATCTGATCAAGAGCCCTTACCTCTGCTGTTTTGGCTTCTTCGGCTTCTTCCAGGGCAAGTTTCAGCTTCTTGTCAGCTTCTTCTAGTTCAACCCGTGTTGCTTCAGCTTCCTTCTTCAACTCCTCAGCTTTGCTCTTCATCTCTTCAGCTTCACAACGTGCATTCTCAGATTCCACCGATAACTGGTGGAGATTGGTGATCATTTCTTCTGAAGCACCTCTTGCCTTGGACTCCTCTGCAATGGCTGCTTCAAGCTCCAACTTACATTTCCGTAGCTTAACATGCAAGTTTCCAGCAATGGATTCTGTTTCTGCCTCTTTCTCCTTGAGTTCCAGATGCTGCTTCTTCACATTCTCCAGCTCCAGCTTTAGCGAATCAAGTAAACTTCTCAAAGAGCTTTCTTCTTCCACTACTTTCTGCAGTGACTCCTTAGCACCATCTAATTCTGAAGTGACGGTTTTAACAGAATCCAAATCTGAGGCCTTTGCAAGGGCCATTTGCTCTCTCAGACCACTTATCTCATTCATTGTTTCGGTCAGTTGCTTTTCGAGATTCTGTGTAAGTTCTGGATCGAACTCATTCTTCAATGCAATAAGCTTGTTCGCTGATTCTTCTAGGGTAGCCTTGTATGACTGCTTCTGAAGGTCCTTGTCAGAAAATATTTTGGTTTGTTCTTCATGGGACTGAAGAGAAGCAAGCTTCACTTGCCCAATTGATTCTTGCATTGATGAAATCTCCTTAGAGAGCTCGCCAACTTTTTCAACGTTTACTTTGGTTGAATGTTCAGCTTCAGCAGTTTGTGTAATAGCAGCAAGCTTTGCCTCCAAAGATGCATCACACTGCTGGCGAAGTTTCCTAAGTTCTTGCTTCGCAACATCGAGCTCTGAAAATACAGTTAAATACTGTTCCCTTGCAGCCTCTAAATCCTGAAGCCTAGCAGCATCAGTTGGCTGGTTACGTCCACTATTTGCTTCTTCAATTTGCTTCACTTGATTTTTTGAAGTCTCTGTGGCTCTCAGTGCCAACTCTTTTGCTTCGTTGATAGTTTTGAGTTTTTGGGTCAGATCATCAACTGCTCTTTTAGCCTTTTCAAGCTCGGTTAATGCTTGAGCCTTGGTTGTTTCAGCGTTGTCTAGCTGATCCTTTAACTTGTTCAACTCCTTCTGGGCTACATGAAGCTGTGTATCCTTTGCATAAACTCGCTGCAGTAAGGTAAGATACAGAGCGTAAGGGTTAAGAACTTGGTCATAAATATCCACATTTCTAGATAATCACACAAGAGGTCAAAATGGATCCAGTCTTTTGGGCGGTTTCAAGATGAATCATAAAGGACAGAAAATCACAAACAACTCCCTTTCAGTCTGCCATGTTTTAGGCGAAGGTTTTACAAGCAGTAACACAACAGAGAACCCCCACAGCACCCATCTAGTTCAATCTCACTCAGAATATGATAACAAATAGCAAATTAGCAATCATGGATACCTCTGCAGAATGAGGCTTTGGTTTTTTTA